TAGCTGGGCCCATCAGGATGGCAGGACTTGACACATCTCCCAAGCTGATGCAGAAAGAGGTATTGGTATGCAGTAGAAAAATTTATTTCCACAGCTGGCATCTTCCAGGAGTATCACTGCAGATAGTGAGATATATAGCACATCCAAAATAAGGGTGAGCCTCTCTTTCTTCAGAGAGGCTATGTACACAGCAAAATGGAAAGCATTTGATGTTCCCTGTGTGTACGTGAATGTGCATCGACTTCTTGTGAAACTGTACGCCTTTGCAGGGTCACCCCAGTCACCTGCTCTGCTCCTCCAGCTCTGTGAGGGTCAAGCCCCTCTCTGCCAGGATGTCCCTACCGGTGTGCTGGCCTGAGGCTGCTGGCCCAGGACACACCACAAAACTACAAGAAAGTTTGTTTCAGGTGCACAGGCAAAGCAGAGATAGATCCTAAAGTCTGTCTCTGCAACAGGCTGCTTCAGTGTCTCAGATGGGTGGTAGTTTACAGCTGCCTCCCCAGTCTGGTGCGGTGAGGTGATGTGGACAGTATTTTGAGAAGCAATGTTTAGAAAGGCAGCAGCTGAAATGCTGTATCAGCTCTCACAGCCCACTGCAGACTGAGCAGAAGATACTCTTGCAGGAAGACAATCCTCCGAGGCAAATGCATCCTCCTGCAAGCTGTGAGACAGTAGCAGCGCACCCCATGTGGTCCCTCTCACATGGTCCTTCTTGCTCTTCCACCAGCTGCCCCTGCTCAGAGGCGGTTCCTCTGCTTCAGCCACATCACAGCATGTGGCAATCCCAAAGCCTGAGCTGAGGAAACCCTGAGTAAAAAGCTACCTCTGCATCATTTCCTTCAAATGCCTCCTTCCTTCATCAGAACTGTCAAACTTGTCCTGCCCCGCTTCAGAACTCCTTGCTCAGCAGAAGCTCAGCCTGTAGCACTGGTGTCAGTGGCACTTTCTAGTCTTAACGCCATAGATTTTTCTTTAGAGGATTATATCTGTTCTGCCGGCCAGAGATGCTGCAGCGGGCCATGCCAACATCACTTACCTTAAGAAGAGACAGATCCCCTGTTCAGCTCCTGGCCTACCCACAGTCCTGGGTAAATACCCATGCCGCAGATACTCTGCAAACTGGACCTTAGTATAGGCATGAAAGCTATCAATGGGAGCTTTATCCCCACTCTGGGCTGCAGCGAGGCCCAGGTCTACCTCCCCAGGAAGCAAGCCCCCTTTAGGTTCCCTGCTCACCTCCCTGGACTGCCATACCAAATGCCAGCCCCGTGTCGCATGGTGGGATGCTCCAGCATGTGCAGCACAGAGGCACTTCCTCAATTTCCAAACAGGGGATCCTCTCAGGAGTACTCTTGCTAGGCAGGTCTTTCCCACAGTGCTGCTCCTGTTTACTGTCCCTTGGGGGTTCCTGGAGACATGCAAGCGTGCACTCCCCAGTTTGGGATGCTATTTTTAAGGCTAAGTGCCAAGGCTTCTAGGGCATTTTTCAGACTGCCCATCTGGGAAGGTTTCTTCTAGCTCCAGAGCTAGCTTTTGCTTCTCAGGTCAATATTCAGCCTGCACAACCATGATCAAAAATCATAAGGCAGATCCCTCAACCACAAGATTGGTTTAAAAATGACGTTATTATTATTTCTGGGCATGTGTAATGACCTTGGAGTCTCTGTATTTGCTTTCTAATTTTTTGAACTCCAGGTTAAATTCAGATCAGGGCTAGGAAATATTAGTTCCTTTCTTTTTAAATGAAAAATCTGAGTTTCTTCTTCCATACAATGTGCCCCAAAGTTCAGACTTTGAGATTATTCCCCACAAATCATGCTTACGTAAGGGAAGAGCACATTGCACACAGCAATCCACTTCCTTGGCTGTGTGGTTCTTCAGGCTGATCTCTGTGTCAGGGGAAAGCACAAGAGCCCGTGGTGAAAGCCAGGTCCTAACTGAAATGTGTTACCTTGCCCAAATTCAAGCTCACTGGGCACCTGCGTGTTGCAAAAGTGAACGTGTGCTCACAGGTCTCTCACACTGCAGCATTTAGGGTCTTCACACAGGGGTAGGGTGGTGTCCTGGGAGTGCTAGCTTGAACCCCAATCATCATTCTCCATTCTTGTGATGAACCACACCCAAACACACTTAAATCTGGGTTATTTAGCAAATGGATTAGTTCTTGACGTGCGGTGCTCATCTTTGGGGTCTTGGATGGGGCTTATATGGCCCCCAAAGACTCCCAAGGTGGTGATGGATGAACAGGAGCCCGTGCTCCCCAGCCTGGATGTCACCTGTGGGCTGTGTGAGATGAGAGCTCTGCTGGCGAAGCATGGGGCTTTTGCTGCGAGTTGATCACTCCTGCTGGTGTGTAGCTCCCAAGGACCTCCAGCCATGCACATCACCTACCGAGCTGGCTAGTACAGGAGTGCATCTCTGCCCTGTAACAATGTGAGACCTTGGCCTGGCTGCTGAGGAGCATGAGGCAGAGGGAGATACCCACACCTGAATGCACAGGACCAGCCAGCTCTGCTGAAGCATGCAGGACCCTCAAGGGCTTCTGTGCTGTACCTCAGATGAGACAGCCATAGCAGTACTGCTAGGAGCACAGCTGAGGGTGATGTGCCCCATACTGCTGCACCTTCTTTTCCCCCTGGTCTTCATGTTTATTTTAGATTAAAAACAAATGAGAAAAGGCCCAGATGGAAATCTATTAATTTAAGTTAAATAAATAATCAGTATTTCCAGACCTTGTCTTTGCTTGTTAGATAAGGGCTTTCCTAGCCTTAGATAAGGGTTTTCCCAGCCTCAGACAAGGTTTTATCTCAGACAAGATGTTACTACATTATGAACCGAGGCAAAATAAGATCTGGACTGAGATACATGTTTGACATAAGTACGTGACCTTGTTGTCATCAAAGTCTAGCAATACTTCACTCCACCCTTAAAAACAACCAAGGCAGACATTTACCATTCTTCCTGAATGGGAAGAATGGTTTGAAATGAGGCAAATGTGTACCAAAGTGGTCACAGCTACCTGATTTCCAGGTGAAGTGAGGCAAGGACTGCAACGCACATCCCAGGTTGGTTTTTAAAGCCATGCCACACTGCTTTGGAGAACCTGCTGTAAGCGCTGTAGCTAGAAACCCTGTGCATCCTCCCAGAAGAATAAGGAGGCAGCAAATTGTGCTCTTGTCCCTCACCTACCCAAACCCAGATACTGCCCCTTGGGGCAAATACAGACTGGGGACTCTGCCCACTCACTACTGCCTTGCTTCAAAGGGAAGGGGCCTCCATGGCAGTTGCTAGAAAAAAAAAAAATGAAGGCAAAGAGCCACAGGATTGACTTTACCTTAATAGTGCAACCTGGCCAAGGACCTGCAGGGCCCTCAGCTTTAGCAGTGGCTGAGAACTGATGAAGATGACTACGAGCACATTGCCAGTCTCCAGACTTAGTTTGAAACCCAACAAATCAATGCAAAAGAAGAATTGTCAGTGACTGCGACAGGCTTTTGGGCCCAGGTACAGTACAGCATGGTCCATATGGGTACTTCTCCAGGTAGCTGAACTCAGGGTACTGGGACAATTTTCACTCAGTCTAACACTTCACATCCGTCCAAAGAAAGCGTCACACGGAGCATCAGCAGCTGTATACCATGTGTTTTAATAAACTGTATAACTAGCAGAAAAATAGTTTTGGAGGTGTTTGTCCTCCTCCCCCCTGAAATAAAAAACTCAAGTTAAAACCAAAATAGCGCCAACCCCAAAACAGAAGAAAAAAATTGTCCCAGAGCAAAGCTGACACACAATACAGAGTCGGAAGAAAAGGTCTTTGATGACATTCTTGGGTAAAGAAATTATGTTGGTAAAACACAAGGTAGCAAATAATAAAATGCTTATTGGTTTGATCAGTTTCTCTCTCTCTCTCTGTATATATATATATATGCAGATACATATATATCTATGCTGATACACCTTTGGTGGGATGAAATGGTACATCTGTAAGACAAAAAAAAATAAAAGGGTGACTGTGGGGAAGGAGTAAAGAAGAAAATAAATGTATCATTTCAGTCAGTGAAGTAAGGACAATGCTTAATTCCCTTACAATGTACCATTGCGCTGCTTATCGAGGGACATGCTTGTCTTTCCATGGCTATGCTGTGTCCCTGGTCCACGGACGGGCTGTGAGCTTGTAATCTGAGTGGTCTCCTTCACTGCTCTGTGTATGAGCAGTACCTCAGAAATGTATGAAGCATTCCTTCCCCTAGTTAATTCCCATGCTTTACCATGATTTTTAATTTAAAACTGCTTAGTATTTCATTTGCATTTTTTACCCCAAGTTTCTTGCATTGACTGCTATGCAGGTCTCCATGGTAAGGTGGAGCAACCCAGATGAGCAATATGCCACAGGAATGTGCTGTTATCAAGATGTGACTGGATGGAGGAATTAATTTTACAATGGATCTCATGCTACTTTGACCTCACACTCAGTCTGTGGAGCCAAGTCATGCAGTAACCTCAGCTGTTCTGCAATGGGTGGGCCTGTGGGTCACATCTTAATCCAAAAACAAGGATAGGAAAGAAAAAATATTTTTTATTTCCTTTTCTCCTTCCATGGAAACCTACCCACACAAGAAGAGTAGGCAATACCATTCTACGCTGAGGTCTCTGCTTCACTCTTAGGCAAATGAGTCCTGCATTCAAAAAAAAAGAAAACATATTCTTCCTCCTGTTGTTATATTGCTCTTTCAGAGAACCAGCCACTGTCCATGCTTTCCCAGATCTCAGTGCTGTGCTTAACAAGCAAACTAAGCACAAGCTCATGCTGGCTGCAAAGTTCAGGTGACCCAGAAGGTATTAAGAGAACAGCTCAGTTTGCCAGCTTCTTGTAAACACCATATTGCAAAGAAGGCAAAGGCAAAACACCCCTCTCCACACCTCCCCCAACTGCCTGCCTTCTGGGTTTTTTTCCCTTTCTCTCGCTTTCTTTTCTTTTTCTTTCTCTCTTTCTCTCTTTCCTTCTTTCTTGCTTGTACGGGGGTTCATGAAGAGAAGCAAGACTTGTGCATCACAAATGATGGAACTATCCCCACCCCAGCCAGCTTCACACCCTATAATAATGCACAAGCCCATCTTATCCTGTACCTGCCCCCAGAAGGTGTTTGTCTCTTGATCTTTTTGGAAAATCATGCAGTCTGATCTGCTGGGGAGTTCTGCAGTGCAGGCACCGGGTGGCTGGTTCTCCCCCTTTTCCTGAGGCTCATAAGTGATTGTTTTTGGACAGATAGGCAATAAGAGCCACGGCCACCCCAACGTAGATGCCAGTTCCGATTGTGATGGACAGGACAGCCAGGAAGAGTGCTCGCCGGGAGCTGGAGCTTGCATGGTGGAAGTCCCCCTTGGCTACTGCTTTGTTTGTCTGCAAGATATACAACAACAACAATGCAATATATTTATTTGTTTCATCTGGAAATGAAGATATGATGCTCATTTCTTGGCTGAAACATGATCCTGGGATATTGCAGTAAATTGGTTGGAAATCAAATACTTTTTTAGTCGAATGAGGTTATTTGCACAATTAGGATGATGATGGAACCAATGGCATCTCAAGCAGTACTTTAAGTGCCTTTAAGCTTAAACATATCCTAGGATTTAATACTGTGCATCATGATGACTCCCGAGATGGCTCAGCCTCCCCTGAGAACATGGGCAGATGGACTGTGAGCCAAGGGTCTGCCATGTCCCTTCCAGACACAGCTACAATCTTGCTTCTGTGAGGTGGCTGGATTCCAGCCTGGCTGGGAAAGGTAACAAGGGAAAAGCCCTTTAAACATGCCACTTGCACAAAAATGTTCTTCCAGGTCAGCTGAAATGGTTGATCGTTCTTACCTGGACAAGGACAAGAGTGGCTGAATTTTCCCTTCCAGTGCAGTGCTTTTGAGCATACTGACTAGGTGGAACGACTGGCCCAGGTTCACTACCATGGAGAGGCCAGACACTACCAGTTACCTTGCACCCACCTTAGGCTTTAGTGCAGGACAAACAGCTAGGAAACCAGAGCTAAC